GGAAACCCGTGCGGCATTTTCGTCTCTGGTGAAAGTAAAAGGGGTTGTGACTCTTCAGTCGGAGAGAGAGGGCGTTTTGGCAGCAGGTGATGGTGAATGCGACTGAATGCTTTCTGGAACTGGTGTTGATTTACTAGACTGCGACATTGAGCTGAAGAACTTTCGAAATTCGTCTGCAATGGGTCTTTGTGCTGCTTGAAGCCCAGGAGGCTGTTGGAAACTCTCGGAGTTAGCAGAAATCACTTGTGCAGTTCCAGATGAAGGATCTAGATGAACAGTCTCAGATGTGTATAGCTGAACCTGCGTTGGATCAAAGGACCTCTGGGGATACTGGTGTTCCTCTGAGGAGTTCAGCAAGGGCACGTGCTCTTCAAAATATGCAAGATGTGGTTCTCTGAATGACGGAGGAGGTTGTATCTGCATGAATGATGGCGGGGAATGTGCCTCCACACAAGCCTCAGACTGGGCTTGGAGGTTCTCGTTGAAAAGTGGAGGAGGCTCAAGCTCAAGCACCGATTGTGACGGCTGAAGGTTTCCGAGGCGTGCTTGTGGGTCTTGTTTGAAAGCACTCTCCGTTAGGCGGGTCACTTCATTGCCCGGGGACTGCGTCTGGGCGTGCGTTGGATTGGGCTGGCTCGTTCTAATGTGGTCTGGCCGATGGAGTTGCCGTTGGGTATTTGCAATCTGCACAGCAAGACCCGCGGGTGCTGCTCCTGTAGTACTAAGGGCCATCGCTGAATCTAAAGCAGGCAGGGGCCCTACATCGCTGGTTGGCATGGAAAGAGGCTGCTGCAGTTGGACATTGCAGGTCTGCAACTGAACACTTCCCCAGGATGCAGGAATGGCCTCCACCTGACTGGGAGTCGCCAGGGGGTGGGCCTTTGTGTCTGGCAGGGCTGGGTATTTGGTGGAAGCCGCAGGGGTTGGCGGGAGTCCTGAGGGCGATTTGCTTATCAGGTGCCAAGACCCACCTGACACCGGCACCAAGCGGAATTCGCCCCCGGACAGAGTCAGGTGGGTGATGTTCTCCGCAGAGAGGAGCGGCCGTAAGTCGCCCGTAGACACCATTTTCTGAAGTTCTCCAGGAAATAACAAGGGAGGATAACTATTTAAGGTAGAGGCAAGTTGCCGCAATTCTCCTGAGGAAGAGGTGAGTTGTCTGAACTCTCCTGAAGCAGACGTCAGCTGCCGCAGCTCCCCGGAAGAAGCTGTGAGTTGCCTCAGCTCTGCGGACGAAGAGGTTAGCTGACGTAGCTCCCCGGAAGACGTGATGAACTGCCTCGCGGACGATAGCTGCCTCAGCTCCTCCGCTGACGCCGGCAGCTGACGCAGCTCGTGGCTGAAGCCCGTGACGTTCTGGAACATCCCCCCCGTGGCACCGCCGACCACCTGCGCCCCCGGGCCTGAGAACAGGTGCAGGTCGAAGGAAGACTGCGCGTTGTGCGCCTCTTGGCCTGCCAGTCTCGGGAAGGAGTGGCTGCTCACCGCCTTGGAGCCCATGGCCGCCCTCCCCGCCGCCGTCAGGTCCGTGAAGGTGGAGTCCGAGTCGGAGCTGTCGGAGGAGTCGCTGTCGGTGTCAGGAAACGGACTGTCCTGCGGTTGGAGAAAGCTAGTGTTAGGCTGCAGAAATACAACAAACATTTATTTGATATTATCTATTCGAATTTTATACATGCCCACTTTCTACAATCTAAAATTTATTTCATATGTAAAAGCATCTAGTGGAAAGTGTGTAAAATAAAATAAATTATTTTTTAGTTGTGTTTCCCAGTATTAATATCTAATTTTACTTAGTCTGTTTGCAAAAAAAATACATATATCGTCAAACCAATGCAGTATATGAATTAAGTGTATGTCCCGAAACAAATGAAAAATGGTGTAAAATACAATTATGATGTGTTTAAAAATAATAATAAGATTAAAACAATGCTCTCCAGATTCGATGTTCCAATGTGGTAACAAGTGGTCGCCTTTAATACGGACCAAATGAAATTTCTCTTCATAATAACCCTTATGTTTATGTAAAAAATTCGGTGTGTGTAGGTATGTGTGTGTGTGTGTGTGTGTGTGTGTGTGTGTGTGTATGTGTGTTGTGTATGTGGTGTGTGTGTGTGTGTGTGTGTATGTGTGTGTGTGTTGTGTGTGTGTGTGTGTATATATGTGTGTGTGTGTGTGTGTGTGTGTGTGTATGTGCATCAAGAACATGCTTTCGGAAAGGCGGCCAAAGAGGCAAAACGCCCGCCACGCCCAAGAGCGAGGGCGCCGCCGCCTCCGAGCGCCCAAGCGCCGTACCTGCCGCCGCACGCACAGGCCGCGGGCGAGGGTCCCCCGCTTGGCGCCCTGCCGGTGCACGTAGGCCTGCGTCACCGTCTGGCCGTTGGCGCGCGTCCGGGTGACCGCCTGGCCGTGGGCCGCGCCGGCGGCGGCCTCGCCCTGGGCGTGCGCCGTCCGCGGCAACGTCCAGGTTGTCCGTCGCGCCGCTTCAGCGAGGACACCACGTCGGGGTCGTAGCTCTCCGCGCCCGCGTCGCGGCACGTGGGCGTCATGACCAGCGTGTGCACGTGCGTGGGGGGCGGCCTGTGGCGGGCGTAACCTCACAATCACCACGCCCACGATCAGCAAGACCAGAAGGACCACCCCACGCCCACCAGCGCTCCCAGGAGGGGTGGCACGCCCATGTAAACTTTCTCCCTCTCCGAGTCGATTACGAGACCTGAAGATAAATAGATAAAAAAAGAAGTCATTTAAGGCACTCCGTTGCTGTGCGTGGGTGCTGTACATAAATACATACACCTGTATATTTCTGTGTGTATATATATATACACATATGTGTGTGTGTGTGTGTGCATAAACATAAAATACGTGTGTACATACACACACACACACACACACAAGCACCTTCTTTCCCTATATGCATATCTGTCTCTTCCTCTCTCTCTCTCTCTCTCTCTCTCTCTCTCTCTCTCTCTCTCTCTCTACTTCTCTCCTCTCTATCTATCTATCTATCATTCTGCCCCTCTCTCTCTCTCTTCTATCTATCATCTATCTGTGTCTGTGTGTGTGTGTGTATGTCTCACGCACACACATACACACACACACACACGCACTTTTTTGTCACAGGAAAAAGAAAATTCACAACACAATCACATCCACAACGCGAGGCTCACTTAGGGAAAGGCGTAACGAGGAGGTAATTTCTGCTGCACTTAAAACAAATGAACGGAGATAAGGCAACAAGCGCACCAGGATTATTAGTGGCATTGTTATTTTTTCTGCGACGGGAAAATAGTGCGTTTTCGTTATAACGGATTCTAATGACGTTTCGATCCCCCTTGGATCCTTGTCGGATTAGAGGAACTGACGTCGAATGGGATCTCGATTTGGTGCATGCTTTATGGAGGGAAGATGCGGATTTATCTCACTTCACTCTGTCTCTGTTTATCTTTTCTTTTTTTTGTCTTTATCTGATCTCTGTGGTTGTTTATATTTCGTTTTCTGTTGGTGTTGTTTTTCTTTTTTTCTTTCATTTTCTCTTACTGTCTCGTTGATTTCTCTCTCTCTCTCTCTCTCTCTCTCTCTCTCTCTCTCTCTCTCTCTCTCTCTCTTCTCTCTCTCCTCTCTCTCTCTCTCTCTCACTCACTCGCTCGCTCGCTCTCACACACAAACGTTCTCTTTCTCTCTCTCATAATCTATATATATGTCTTCTCATCTGTCTTTCTCTCTCGAATTCCTTTTACTGACATCCCCCTTCCCTATCTCTATCTCTCCGCTCTCTCCCTCTCCCTCTCCCTTCCTCTCTCTCCCTATCCTCTCTATCCCTCCCTATTCCAGCCCCTACCTGGAGCGGCGTGGTGTTGGGCGCTGGCCGTGTGCAGCTCCAGCCGGGTGACCTCGCTTCGCCCTCTGTTGTTGTGGGCGAGGACACGCAAGGTCACGCCCAGTCCCGCCTTCAGTCCGGTCACTTGCCATTCTGGGGTTCCGCTAGGGGAGGATGTAGGGGTGTGGGTTTAGTTTTTTTTATAATTTTCTATAAATTTGTTGATTTCATTTGTTTATTTGTGATGATTTTTTAACTGTTTATCTATGTATCTGCCATTTCTGTATATTTATCTATCTATCTGTCTATCTATCTATCTGTATTCATATATACTTATATATAAAGTTGATGTGTACCTCGAAACCTATACACATCAGCAGCGCCATTCCGAATACCGACCTGGACATGTTGGCGACGAAGGCCCCCTCCTGCCACACCTCCAGCTGGAAGCTCTGCGGGAGGCCGCCGTCGAAGCCCTCCAGGCAGGTGACCGTGAGCGCCGCGTGGTGCACGAGGCCGTCGGGGGAGACGGGGGAGGCGGAGCAGTTGGAGGGCGTGTCCGGAGGCCCCGCGGGCACGAGGGTCACCACGCACGCCTGCCGCTGCTGCCCGACCTCGTTGGAGGCGCGACACAGCAGCTGGCCGTAGTCCTCGGGCGTGCGGGGCGTGACCATGACCTTGGAGGTGACGCCCTCGCTGTGGATGTTGTCCTCGGAGATCTCCACCTCGCTGCCGTCCGCCAGCGTCCTCACCCACGCCCACGAGATGTCGCGGGCGGGCTCGGCGTTCACGGTGCACTTCACGTAGGTGGGCGCCCCCCGGGCAGCGCCCTGGGTCCGCTCCTGGCTGGCGCCCGCGCACACGGGGGCGTCTGAGGGAGGAAAACAAGACTACACTATGTGCATATGGGACTGGACACGTGTGTATGTGCGTGTGTGTGTGTATGTGCGTGCGTGTGCGTGCGTGCGTGCAAGTATATATGCACGTACCAACCAATCCCCAAAGCAAGGCGTGAGCCCCGCCCGACCCGCCCGACCCGCCCGGCTGCCGCGGCCCAATATCCCTTTTAAATGGCCCAGATATCTGATGAACATTTCGCGTAAGTGAAGGATCAAAAGAGATTATACATTAACGAAAAATCGCGATCATTTCACCGTTCCAGAGCGATAGCATTAAGTTGAGA